AACACAATACAGAAGCCTGATGATGGCAGATGAGATTCTGCCGAAACGTTGCTACAACTTTAAAAGCACAACTATAATGACGTGGGAAAATACCCGAACAAAGCTGAATACCATACATGTAAGTACCCGAAAAAACTTAAGAAAACATATATATACATATACATATACATATATATATATATATTAATTAGACCTTCTATGTTAATGTTACAGCTCTATAAATATTCCCTTCCTCTTCGCATCGTATAAGATAGCTGTCAATAAAATGAGCCGGGCTATTTTACCTGCCAAAAAAGCTAATACAATCCTTGGTTATATAAACAGAGGCATAGAATCAAAATTGCATGAAGTATTAATACTGGTTTATAAAGACTTAGTGAGGCCACACCTGGAATCCTGCATCCAGTTCTGGTCACCACGTTACAAAAAAGATGTTGAGACTTTGGGAAAAAATGCGGAGAAGAGCAACTCAGGACGATTAAAGGCCTGGAGACTAAAACATGTGAAGAATGGTTGCAGGTTTCGCCAGTCTAGACAAAAGAAGGACTAGGGGAGACATGAGAGCAGTCTTCCAGTATTTGAGGGCTGCCACAATGAAGAGGGGGTCAACTTATTCTCCAAAGCATCAGATGGCAAGACAAGAAACAATGGGTGGAAACTAATCAAGGAGAGAAGCAACCTGAAACTAAGGAGAAACATCCTGGCAGTGAAGACAATTAACCAATGGAACAAATTGCCTTCAGAGGTTGTGGATGCTCCATCACTGGAAGTTTTTAAGAAAAGACTGGACAATTGTCTGAAATGGAATAGGGTCTCCAGCTTGAGCAGGGAGTTGGACTAGAAGACCTCCAAGGTCCCTTCCAGCTCTATTCTGATTGATTGGTTGAAATGATGCTGGGAACAACGTGCTAATTTCTTAGCTGGGTGTTTCCTGTTCATTGTGATTCTTGCCTTGCTTTGGATTGACCCCATGCCTTGTGACCTCTGGACTTTTCTTGCCTCATGGAACCCCACCTGCATTGTGGATTTAATTTTTCCTGGTGGGTTTATTTTGATCGGGAAGCTTTCAAGTGCCTGGTGAACATTGGCCATGGCTCGGTGGACTCACCTTGGTCTGCTCGGGACAGTCTTGTGTTTTGGGTGAAAGGAGTTGCAAGGGAATGTCAATAAACCCACTAAACCACAGGTTTTTTTTGTGTGTGTGAGTGAGCGGGACAGTACACAAATAACAACGGGTGAAAACTATCAAGGAGAGAAGCAACCTAGACTAAGGAGAAACTTCCTGACAGTGAGGACGATTAACCAATGGAACAAATTGCCTTCAGAAGTTGTGAGTGCTCCATCACTGGAAGTCTTTAAGAAAAGACTGGACAATTGCCTGAAATGGAATAGGGTCTCCTGTTTGAGCAAAGGGTTGGAGTAGAACAGCGGCCCCCACCTTTTTGGGCACCTGGGACTGGTTGCACGGAGAGAGGTTTTTCCACGGACTGGAGGGGGCATGTCGTAGCCCGGTCCATGGACCGGGAGTTGGGGACCCCTGGACTAGAAGACCTCCAAGGTCCCTTCCAACTCTATTTTAGATCCTATCCTTATGGATTGAGAAAGACATTCATGCGGTTCAAATGTGTAACGACCTTGTCTACAAATTCCAACTTACCAGGCAGCTGCCGACGCCCACCATCCAAGGTGTAAAATATCTGCAATGGTAGGCTAAGAAAAGAGGAAGCAAAGAGCATAATCTTAGAAGAACCTCTAAAAAAAACACCTATGGATTCTCTCCACCCAACCTCCAGATATTGACTGACTGACTGATTTATTTGTTTTATGGAATTTCACTGCCGTCTCTGATTTAATGGAAGGCTATGTTTTATTAAAGTTTTTCTTAATATGTTAATATTGTGGAGCCCTTGCTGTGCCTCTTAATACCCAAACAATTGTCTAAAGACAAGATTGTTCCTGGGGTACTTTTTCCAAACTTTTGATATATGGTACAAGTTCTTCTGCTTCAGAAGGGGGCTGGACTAGAAGACCTCCAAGATCCCTTCCAGCTCTATTCCATTCCATTCCAATCCAATCCAATCCAATCCAATCCAATCCAGTCCAGTCCAGTCCAGTCCAGTCCAATCCAATCCAATCCAATCCAATCCAATCCAATCCAATCCAATCCATTCTCTATATTCTATTCCATTCCAATTCTAATTCTATTGTACTTTCTTGATGTTTTCTTTGAAAACATTTCACTTCTCATCCAATAGGTTTCTTTAGTTCATTTCAAAGTCCAGTTGCCTTTTTGAAAAAGCAGCTTTGGGATACTCAAACATTATACAACTGTTGACTCCTAGTGACCACATAGAGATTTTTCTCCATGACATTCTAACCCTAACCTATTCCTGATCCTTCAACACTGCCACTGGAGCATTCATTGTTACTGTAACTGAGGCCATCATCCATCTTGCTCCTGATCGTCTCTTTTTTCCCACCTTTCCAAGCATTTCAAAGCTAGTTGGGATCGAACTGCTGGCAATGGGCAGTGTCAGCCTGCAATACTGCATTCTAACCACTTTGCCACCATGGCTCCTTACACCCTTTGTATGCCCTTCTTCTCCATATGTTCTTATTTTCCTCGGTATTTTATCATTTTAGATTTGACACCGGCTTTAGTTAGCAATCGTAATAAATCCAAAAGCAATATGAATCACATTCCTGTTGCTAACAGAGACATTTGTTCAGTGAGTTTTGTGGAAAGGTGCAATGAGTACTGACCACATTGATGGAGCGGAGTCCTGCTCCTTGTTTCGGTTCATCTTCTGGATCGCAGACTGACTGGTAGTCATAAGACTTGTTGAAGGCATACAAGGACATATTAATGAGATTTCTCATGAGGCCAGGGTCAATCTCTCCAAAGAACTTTCCAATCTAATGCACAAAGAAAGGGAAGTCTTCAAACAGAGGTCAAGTAGCTACTGGATGTGTTTCCTAAAAGATATTGCTTAATTTGTTGTGGCCCGCCAACGGACAGCGGAGCTGGTGGCAGATTCAGACAGTGAGGAGGTTGGGGAAGAACATGGGCCAGTCCTGGAGTATGGTGAAGGCTCTGATGAGTGCTCTGCATTGGAGGCAGAGATGGGGCCAGGGCCGTCTGACAGTTATCAGCTGTCTTCGGAGTTGGACATCAGTGAGGCAGAAGAACAGCTGGAGCCTGTTCCTGATATGCACATGTGCAGAGCTGCCAGGAGAAGGGAACAGCTAAGGAACAAGGGTTGACTCGGGAGTAAAGCCACAGGTAGGTGGTGAATGGCCCCTCCCATAGGGAATAAAAGAGGAGCAAAAGGGGAGTGGAACTTTGCAGGAGACAATTGGTTCATTTGGGTGAAGATCTGTTCCTGCATTCTTGCCAAGTATTGTCTGCTACAGTGTGGCATATGAAAGATATCGGCCTGGCAGCTCTCCAAGCCTGATCAAGGTCTGTAGCTATGAAATCTCTTAAAAGATTGTTGTCCGGGACTTTGCTGGAGAGGAATTCACAGTAAACTAAATAAAAGGGGTTTTATCGGGACGAGGAGTCGGCTTCGTACTCTTGAGGAAGCATAGGTCAGAACATAATTAATAAGATATTCTGCATTAGACTTAATTCAGTCACGTACCTCTGGAACATAGTTATCTTGGTTGGTCATCAAAAGAAAACCTCCATCATCAAGAATGACACAGTCAACGTGCTAGGAGAAAGAAGAATCACAGAATATAACTAAGTAATTGTTGAAATTTACCTTCCAGTTGAATATCGACTTACGAGCACAATTGAGCCCAACATTTTGGTTGCTAATTTGTCAAGTAAGTTTTGCCCCATTTTTACGACTGTTCTTGCCCCATTTGTTAAGTGAATCACTGCTGCTCTTCAGTTAGTAACATGGTTGGTTAAGTGAGTCTGGCTTCCCCATTGTCAGAAAGTCGCAAAAGGGGATTGTTAAGTATGGAGAATAACGGAGACCAGACATCTGACCAGTGACTTCAACTCTTTAATAAAGTGATAGAACATAACAGAGCAATGCTATGGGCAGCAGTAACCCTTTTATAGGGTTAGCTGCTGCCTTATTAACCAATGAAAATGTGCAACAGGTTCAAACTACTGACCAATAAGGACAGTCCCAAAAGTGGCCAATCAGGGACTGGTTCTGGCCCAATCCCAAGTTGTTGTATAAGGACCAATCAAGTGTGCAGGTTTTCAACCCCTAATTTGCATTTAGGTTATTCACTTTTATTGATTCACAACAGGGATCATGTGACACCCCCGGGACACGGCAACCATCATAAGTGTGAGTCAGTTGCCGAATGTCTGAATTTTGATTGCGTGATCCTGGGGATCTTGCATTAGTTGTGTGAAAAGGGGTTGTAAGTTACTTTTTTCAGCGTCTTTACTTTGAATAGTCACTAAATGAACTGTTGTAAGTCAAAGACTACCTGTATAAACAGAAAAATAATAATGCAAGATCTTATTCACGGATTAGATAATCATGCCTTTTGGAGCATAAAACACTGCCAGTTATCATCTTTGGAAAGCTTTTGGAATAAATTACAATGGAATATCCGTGATAAACTATTAATTTTGTATAATCAAACATTAACATATATTAAATTGTGCTACTCTTCTCGCTCGGGATTCAAGCCAGCTGGATATTGTCAGTTTCAAGAACTTCCTGAGAGTTCCTATCATTTGATATAAAAGTTGCTCAATTGATCTTTATGGTTACTTTTGGTATCGGAAATGTAAATGTGGCTGCACATTTCATTTGCAACGTGGTTGTGCAAATCATGGACCTGAATGATAGCTAGGGAGTATTAATAATAATAATAATGTTAATCACAAACAAAGGCAATTATATGTGTCCCAGGATAATATTGCAGGATCCAATCTGAGTCGGTCGCCAGAACCAAAGGTTTTGTCTTGTGAGCTTCTGGATTCGTTCTGGAGTCCATCCTGAGCAAATTTCTCTCTATTGATATAGGGGCTTTGGGCTATTTTCTGTGTGGTGTTTATATGGTGCCTGTTGTGTGTGGGTTTTTAGATATTGATTGGGGTCTTGATTAATGTATTAATGACTTAGCATCCAGCCATCAACACACCCCAATCAACATCTAAAAACCCACACACAACAGGCACCATGTAAATATCACACACACACACACACACACACACACACACACACCTTAAGCAGTCTCTGCCTGCAAATAATCCAGCCCAACGCTGTGAGCACCAGGGCTGCAAAACGAAGAGTCCAGAAAGAATTCAAGGAATCCATGAAAGTTCAAACGTTGGGACTCAACACGCCAGGAATTCAGCATTTGTTCCCAACAAATGCCCCTCCCCACAGCATCTCCTTAAGTCTCAGTCCACAGCCGTGCCTTGTGAAGAGGGGTGGGGCGCTCTCCTCCTGGGTAGTCAGGTCAGTCTGCACTGTTCTTGCCTTCTCTCCACTCTCCATCCTCGGGGATCAGAAGGGGCGGTCCTTACTCATTGCCTGAGCTCTGTCTCTCATGTTCACTGCTTGGCCTGTATTGGTCATCCTGCCCCCCCGTTCCTCCCTGCCTACAAGCCATCCCAATCCTGAAAGGCCCTGGGCTGACTTGGCCTGCTCCTCCCCATTTTCCTCCTAAGCTAACAAAGCCGCCCCCCCCCCCCTTGATCTCAGTCTGCTCCAGTTCCGGCTTGTCTTCCTCCACACATTCAGGCTCCAACGGGGGCATGACACACTGCTAGAGAGAAGTTCTCTGAGGATGGGTTCCAGCACGAGTCTGAAAGCTCAGAAGACAAAACTTCCAGTCCCGGTGACTGACCCAGATGGGATCTATTGTGGTTTGCCAGCAGCCTGTGAAGACGGCAGCAGAATCGGACAGTGGGGAAGAAAAGGGATCAGTCCGGGAGTCTGAAGAGGATTCAGATGAGGGTCCTGTGTCCGATGCAGAGATGGGGCCAGGACTATCTGGGAGTAGGGTGCTGCCTTTGGAGCCTCCGGAGTCTGGCAGCAGCGAGTCAGAGGAACAAAGGGAGCCTGTGTGCAGAGCTGCTAGAAGGCAAGAGCAACTGAAACAAAAGGGGCGACTCGGGAGTAAGGCTGGCAGATGATTGTCCCTCCCATAAGGGATAAAGGATAGGCAAGGATAAGGAAACCTTTGCAGGAAGCAAAGTCGTTCATTTGGTTCAGATTCTTGAAGCTCTTTGTACTTCATTTTTTTTTTCTAGTTCATTTGACACTTCTGTTATTGGCAGCACTTCACAGGAAAGAAAGGTGGGTGCTTATCTCAAGGAACTATTTGAGATTCATTACCAGTTGGGAATGAAAATAATTCCTAGCATTGCAATAAAACAATTATTATCTCAGAAGCCTTGGACAGAACAGGATCCTGCAATAATATTAATGCTTAACATTGACATGGCTGCTTCGTGAGTCCCAAACTACATGACATATTTGTTCCATTATAAACCTTTAAAACAGACGAGATGTTAATGATGAATGTATTTGGCTGAAGGAAATCATCTATTGCATCTCTTACCTGACTGTTCTTTTCACATCCGCAAATCTCACTCCCACTTTTACACTGAAAAAAATGTAAGAATCAGTGCATTCATAAAACTATTCCTTTTTCGAAAACAACAAAGGCACGTAATACGCATGGCATTATCCAAGTGGGGGGATAGTTTCCCAAGAGTAAGCAAATGCTGGAGCAAGAAACCCATAATTTCTTATTTTTACTGCTCTTATGGCAGAGAGTGCAACTTTCTCTTTTGTTACCTTGATACAGCCTTGATCTGCACCATAGATAATAAAATGTCTGGGCCCAAAACCAGGCCCAAACCGGGGTGAAAATGGGGTGAAAATGGGCCAAAAGTGGGCCAAAAACAGACCAAAAAACAGGCCCAAAACAGACCAAAAAACAGGCCTAAAACTGGACCCAAACTGGGGTGAAAATGGGGTGAAAACAGGCCAAAAACAAGGCTGAAAAACAGGCCAAAAATGGGCCAAAAACAGGTCCAAAACTGGACCCAAACCAGGCTGAAAATGGGCCAAAAAACAGAAGAAAAAACATGTCCAAAACTGGGCCCAAATCGGGGTGAAAATGGGGTGAAAAACATGCCAAAAACAGGGCTGAAAAACAGGGCAAAACTGGGCCAAAAAACAGACCAAAAAACAGGTCCAAAACTGGGCCCAAACCAGACTGAAAACAGGCCAAAATGGGGTGAAAAACAGGGCAAAAACAGGGCTGAAAAACAGACCCAAAATGGGCCCAAAACTGGGCCCAAACCAGACTGAAAATGGGCTGAATATGGCCAAAACTGGGCCAAAAGCAGCCCAAAAAGTATGCCTAATGCTAGGCTGAAAACTGGACTGAAACAGGGCCAAAACGAGGCCACGCAGCCCGTTTTGGCTGGCAGGGTGCTGCAGGAAGCATCTGTCGTCCCCCCCCCCGCCCCTCCCCATGGGCCACAGAGGAGAATTACAATGCTGATCCAGCCCTCGAAGAAATCCAGTTTAACACCCCTGGGTCTAGTAGAAGAACCAGATCTTCAAGCTTTACGGGAGATCAACATGGCGGAAGCCATACAGGCGTTGGTTCAGCTGCTAAGATTGTCGAAGGAAGCTCTGGGGAAACGGGAGGAGAAGGAAGCCTCCAAAACTCACCTGTTCTTTAATGGTGATTGTCGTGAAATTTCTCATCCAGCTGTTCAAGTTGATTTTTACTCCGACAACTGGCAAGAAATACATATAGCATGAGGAAAAAATAAATGGATCGACATTGCAAAATGAGATGCAGGTAGTCTTCAACTTACAATGGTTCGTTTAGTGGCTGATCAAAGTTACAACGGCATGGGAAAATGGGATTTAGGACTGGGTTTTTTTCACTTATGACTGTTGCGGCATCCACAGGGTCACGTGATCTAAATTTGGACGCTGGGCAACCGGTTCATATTTATGACGGTCACAAAGTCCCCAGGGTCATGGGATCCCCTTTTGTGACCTTCTGGTGAGCAAAGTCAATAGGGAAGCGAGATTCACTTAACAACTGGGCTACTAACTGATCAACTGCACTGATTTGCTTAACTACTATGGCAAGAAAGGTTGTAAAATGGGACAAACTCATTTAACAATGTCTTACTTAGCAACAGAAATTTTGGGCTCAATTTTGGTTGTAAGTCAAGGACTACTTTTATCTATCTATCTATCTATAATCTGTTTCTATATATCATCTAAATCTATATCTATCTATCATCTGTCTAGCTAATCTATCTATCTATCAACTACTGGTGTATCTATTATCTATATGCATCTATCTACCTACCTACCTATCAGTTATCTAACTATCATCTATCTATCTATCTATCTATCTATCTATCTATCTATCTACTACTAGTATATCTATCTATTATCTATATCCATCCATCTACCTACCTACCTATCAGTTATCTAACTATCAGCTTTATCTATCTACCTACCTACCTAATTACCTGACCTACCTCTAGCTATCTCTAGCTCTCTCCCTCTCTATTTCTCTCTCCCCCTCTCTTGACCTATCTATTGATCAATCTATAAGCCCTATCTATCATCTATCTATCTATCTATCTATCTATCTATCTATCTATCTATCTATCTACCTATCTACCTATCTACCTATCTATCATCTATCTATCTATCTATCTATCTATCTATCTATCTATCTCTGATCCTATATATCATCTAAATCTATATTTATCTATCTCTATCTCTATCATGTCTATTTATTATCTATCTATCATCTATCTATCTATCTATCTATCTATCTTTCTATCTATCTATCTATCTAATCTGATCCTATATATCATCTAAATCTATATTTATCTATCTCTATGTCTATCATCTCTCTGTCTATTATCTGTCTGTCTATCTATCTATCTATCTATCTATCTATCTATCTATCTATCTATCTAT